TTTTTTTTTTTTTTTTTTTTTTTTTTTTTTTGCCCGTTGTGTACTACCGGTTGTCCAAGGCTCGGCAATGACCGGGCTACTGGTAGCCTGAGCCACGGGCCTTGACAACCGGTAGGTACTGGTGGTTTAACTGCCCGGGAAATTAGGTCTTTTTGAGAAGCCTGAAAATCAGCATTTGTTGGCGGCTCTCGTAGGTGAACGATGGTGGTGGTGCGATTCGCTCTAAATCGCGAGGAGGTGGGTGGGTTTTGCGGGGTCTGAGACCCAGACCCCTGCCGTGCGGGAGGTAGGGCGGATACGTAGGGTTAGGTGATTATCAGAGGATGGACGATTTTGTTGTCTACAGTTAGGGTTTTGTGTATACTTCCTCTTTTGTTCGTTCTGTTGATTTTTTTCTATGATGTGGGGGACGCTGGACCCGTTTTCCGGCTTTCATAATTCAAAAGCAGCCGTCATATGAACCAGGCCGGAGCGCCTGGATCATATGATACTAGGCTGCCAGCGTTCTCCCAGAAAAGAAAAAAGAAAAAAGAAACTTCAATTTTTTTCGTGCAAACCTAACAATTTGTTTTGTTGGGTTTTCACGAATTCTCTGTTTTTCCCGTTGATGCCAAGCGAAGCCCAGAGGGAAAGAAAAAAAAAAAAACACAGCTGCAGAATTGCCGTTGGTATAGTGTGACTGCCCAGTTCCCATTTCCCAAAATCGTGTGGCGGCCTCAGCCATTGGGGACACGGTGTGACCTGGGCCACCACTAAAACCCCAAATTGGGCCTCCACAATTTCTCATAAATTGGGGATCTGGTATCCCAGTGTGAGCATGCCCTCAGGCCAGACCTGCGTGCACCCGGGCCGTGACCCACTAGCGGGGGTTTAGTTTATGTTTAGTGCATTTTCCAACGTGGTCACACTAGGGCCGTCAGATTTTCAGATCTGATGGCAAGGACCCATGCACACTGGAAACCCGAACAAAACCTCGAGAAGGCCTACAGACATGAACGAAGCGATTGGTTGGTTAAATAAATAAAGGGGTAACTTCAGTAGAGTCACGAAAACGAGTTTTTTTCCCTCCACCTTCCCCCACGAAATGCCTCCTCGCTCCGTGCGCGGCACTCCTCCGCCCCTTGGCTGCGCAACCGCTCCAGGCGCGGTCTATGTATCTAGATACAGAGGTCATGTCCGCTCGTTGTACTCGGAAGACGAGGTGAAAACTGGCGCGTGTATCTTGCGACCTTCTACTTCACGATTCACTGGTTATTTTCATTTCTTACGTCGCCGATTTGTACAACCAGGCCGTGCGTCTCTCTGTGGCATCAGGCCGTGTCTCGCTCAGGCTGGTGCTTCGCGAGAGATCTGGCTGCTTCCCGCCGTTGCTATCGCAGTCTCTGCTGCTGGCGCTGACCGACTGCCAGAGCACCTCCCCACTTCTACTGCCGCATATATAAGAGCACGTCGCCATCTTGGCGTAGGAGAAGCATGAGCGGTCAACTGTGGCAGGAACAATAGCGCCAAATCGAAAAATAGCCGCGAGCAAGGTGAAGGAAGGAACGAGTAGGTGGCGTCGAATGAAGAAATCTTTGCACAGGTTGGGCGGGACGAGGAACTCTGTGGTCACCTCGGGATCACTGGATCGTTGACTGGAGCACAGCAGCGAACCGTCGAGAGGCAGAGCGGCAAGAGAGGCAAGAGAGGAGGCAGGGAAGGAGCAGTGTGTATCCGTTTGTCGACTGTGGGCTGAGAAAGAGAGAGAGAGAGAGAGAGGAGGCAGGGAAGGAGCAGTGTGTATCCCGTTGTCGACGTTGGGCTGCCGGCGCAAAGATAACGTCGCGTAGGGGAGAGAGAGAGAGAGAGAGAGAGAGAGAGAGAGAGAGAGAGAGGATGGCGCAGGAAAGCACGCCGGACGTGAGTCAACTGGACGAGGAGGAGATAAAACGCCTCGCCGAGGCTCACTTACGAGTTGTGGAGGGGGGACGGAGAGGAGGGCAAGCCCGTCGAGAACAGCTCGGACACGAGGGGTATAGTGAGATGGGAAGGAAGGGAGGTCTGTCCCGAATGGACAAAAGCGGAGAAGAAGCGGCCCGAGAAAAGGGTATCGAGATAGACGAGTCGAAGTATAAGACGAAATCGCCTCTGTCAGATATTGCCAAAGGAAAACACGGCGGCTCACGGGGAAAAGGGGACGCCGAAGAGTCTCAGCCCCCTCCTCAGAAGAACAGCGGGCCCACAGAAAGTACCCAAGGACAGAAACGTGGTAGCAGAGGAGATCAGGGCATGGATATCGATATGTCAGCACCTGAGCCCGCTGTTTAACAATTTTGGAGATGGCTCGGACGTTTGCGCGTTCACTTCAGATGGGCAGCGACATAGGACCGCGAGGTTATGGATAGAGAGAGACTCTGAGAGAGAGAGATCGAGAGAGAGATCGAGAGAGAGAGAGAGAGAGAGAGAGAGAGAGAGAGAGAGAGAGAGAGAGAGAGAGGAAGAGGAAGGTGAGCATATATGGTGTAGAACAGCGACGTGAGCATATATGGTGTAGAACAGCGACAGAAACACTGAGAGCGAGCGACAGTCAGTGGGAGAGAGCGGTGAGTCGGTGACTACGAACATATTCCACGTCAGGAAATCTTCGAGATCCACTCGCACTCTACGTGTTTGCCTGAGGTACCCTGGGTATCGTGCATCTGCATGATACACGCGGCCGGATGCATTCATGTGATGAGCGATTGGTGGCTAGGCCCATGAAGATGGAAAATTCGTTGGTCTCTCTCAGTGCGTGCCAAACAAAGAAAATTTGAATTGAAATCTCGAGAGACGTTAGTTGAGTACAAGAAGGTACCATCTCTGAGGGTGGCTGGGAAGGCGTGGGTGGTTGGGCAGAGGAAGTTGGGGGGTTTTAGGTTTCGAGTGTCATTTCGACCTCGTGCTATGTTGATGATCACTGATGATCACGGTGTTGCTTATTAGAAGCATGCATGGTATGAGAGTTGACTGCAGGGGATATGACGTGCGTTGACTGCAGTCTTCCCCCAAGCAGCATGCAAATCCATGGTTATCGTAGGGGATATGACGTGATTCTGCACGGTCTTCCCGCGCGCAGCATGCAAATCCATGGTTATCGTAGATGTATTCGAGTCTTTTTAAAAAAACAGCGGTACTGCCCGTGCCTTCTTTTCTTTTGACTTCTCTGCTGATTGTCCGCACCGACGCATTCATTATCTTTATTTTGCTCGGTCGAGGATCCAGCGTATAGCCAGGTTTTGTCTTTGATTCGGGCGGGAAGACGGTAGTCTCCATGTTCTGATGATCGTTTGAGATGTAGACATAACGCTGGTAATCAGCGTTCGGGGTTCGATTCACTGACTTAGGACATGGCCGTGCTGATTAATCAGGATCATGGCAGCATGCATCGCGTATTCGTAATGATTTGTCGGGGAGATGGGTACGGTTGGGGCTTGTTATAATTGGAATCCTTTTGAAGCTTGTAGTAGTCTTGTACAGTAGTATGGTCTTGTAGTAGTCTTGTACAGTAATATGAGGGTCTTGTAGTAGTCTTGTAGTCTTGTAGAGTAATATGAAGGCTAGGAGTGTCTGTACAATAGCTTTTGCACAAACAAGCAGAAGGGTGTAGAGTTTTCATAAGACATAACACGACCGCTCTTGGCTTATCTTACTCTCGCGCCACGACCGCTAGTCGCTTAGTACCTTACTCGCGCGGCATCATCATATCAAGCTCACACCTCACACTTAATGCCGGCGCTTCGCGCTTTGTGCACTTTCTGGATTCAAAATTGGGGTTCTGGATTCAAATTGGGGTTCCGGATTCAAATTGGGGTATGCCGATTATGGTTGAGGTCTGTATCTGTTCTTGTAGATGTTTCGTTGAACGACTGAAACTCGGTTTGCCTTATTATTTCAATCACATAGTTTTACTAAACAACAAACAAGGGTAGGGTAGTTTGAGTTTTAGGTGAAGTCACGTGCAGGCAAGGGACATGGTCGAGGTCCAGGCCATAAAATGATGAGCGTGGTCGAGGTTCAAATGTAGGTACGCTTTCAGGGGTTTATTTGGAGATGAGCCGTTTCCACTCGTCGTGTGTTTGTTTTGGCAAATGATGATGTGCGATAATAAGGGAAGTTGTGGTCAGTAGTGTCCTTCTAGTCTTTTTCTCTCTGCTTTCAGTTTGATCCGAATTGTTAGTCACTTCAGAATCTCTGGAGAGTTTTTTTTAATAAATAAAACGAAAAAAGAGGAAGAGGGGGGGGAGGAGATGTCCTCTGGATTTCTGTATCGAAACCATTCTATGTTTCCAACTTTCCATGGAATTCTCTCTGAATCTCTCACGTTTTGATGTGGTGAAAGCGATCTGCTTGGAAGTGTATATGGTCCGCATGTTTTTTTCTTAATGTACGTTTTGAGGTGGTGAAATCGATCTGCATGTTTTTTTTTAATGTACGTTTTGATGTGGACGTGAAATCGATCTGCTTGCGAGTGCATGGTCCACTAGTTCTCGTTGTTAATGTGCCTTCAGGCTTCAGTATCTCGTTGTTTTGGTAATGTGAAGCGAGTTGTATGCGATAAGCATTGCGCGTGAAATGATTTTTACTCTTTTTCTAGCATATGCAGGCTGGTGTGTGGTGAAATTCCTATGTTTGCGAAATTGCGATGCTGTGCTTTTTTTTTTTTTTTTCCCTTGCGATTTTACGGTTCTTTTTTTATGTTGGCGGGATTTGTTTTTTGGAAAACTTGTGAATGAAGTTTTCATCAATTGGTAATAGGGAAGGGAGTGAATGAAATTTTCCTCAATGATCTGATTGCGTGGTCCCCACTACGTGTGCTGCTGATCCTTGTTTCAAATTTTCGCTCCTTTAGTGTTATGGTTCGAGTCAACTTTGCGTCTTAATCGTGATTGTGAGTTTGGTTCCCAGGTAGCGTTTTTTTTTTTTGTTTTTTGTTTCCGTACTTGATTGTTTGACGGCCGTTGTGAGTTTTGTTCCCGGGCAACGTTTTTTCCCCCGTCCCCCCGTACTGGGATTGGTGGACGGGCGTCGGCGTAGTTGCTGAGGGGCCGGGTCCAGCTAGGACTGGATTCTTCTCTTACGCGTTTTTTTTTTTTCTTTTTTTTTTGAATAAGTCTTCTAATACTGAAACATCTGCTCACAATTCAACCCGGGTACTGAGGCTATTGCTCAGCTTAGGCTCGTGCTGGAAAGCAGGTCCAGCGTCCTCTCCTTGTCATAATTGCTTGTCCTTCGGTCGACATTCAGCGGCACTATTTAGGAGATCGATCGTACATAATGAAAATTGAAGGTCGGTATCTGTGCATCCCAGCCCCCGCCGTCGGAACGCTGACCCTTGGTGTAGTATCGGTACCTTCTCCTTTTTTTTTTGTTATTGAAAAACAGGCCAATTCTTTAAAGCCGAAGCCAATTCAGTTAGTAAAAAATGAAAACAAGAAATAAAAAAAAAAAATAATAATAAATAATTAGTACCTGTCAAAATAATCAAAAGGACGAAGAAATAATCAATTAGTACCTTCTCCTTTTTTCGGTGCTTCTTCCTTTTTTTTTTGTTTTTTTTTGTTTTTTGTTTTTTGTTTTGTTCGACTCGTTGGACTGATGACAAGCGTAGTAGCGACCTGTGGTCGAGTCCCCTTGAATGAGTTGTTCATTGCTGACCGTTGATATTCTTAATCTACGGTCAGATTTGGAGATACGGTCAGATTTGGAGACATTGGGTTAATAAGTGGGACCCTGGCCCTGGGCCTTTCTTTACCCCAGTCTGTCCTCCGCTCCCCTCACGTGTTTTTCGTAAGGGCGTTGTCGATCGTAGCCTGTCACAAAATACCGCTGCAATAGTATCGAGCGAGTGTGTTGGTAAACATGCTCACTGCATGAAGTTCACATGGGGGGAAGAAAGTGGCGCACCCTTGGTTTTAGTGGATGTATTGTTTCTTTTTTTTTTCTTTTTTTTTTTTTGGACCATTTTTTGATTTGTGCCTGGCATCTTTACACACGGGCCATGATAATCTTTTCTTCTGTATTGTTAATGACGGATGTGCCCCCTTTCTTTCCCTATTTAAGTGCGATGTTTTTTTGAGTTGTTTGGACACAATTGTGAATGACCGAAAGAGAAACGAGTGATGATGACGAAATTTTCACCGAGTGATTCGTTGCTATACGTGTAGATCCATTCATCTTCAAGTTTGCGCGAGTGGCACAGAAGTTAATGAGACTCGATCACGCGACCAGTTTAAGGAGGTGCAAGACTGCATAAGTGGGAAAAAAAAAAATTGGAAAAAATCGAAGTTAAGGAAACGAGGGATACGACAGTAACGAGACGAGGGGGTGTTGCCGTGGTTTTCTTTTGTGACACTTCTCTCCATGTGTTCTTCCGTTTGTTTTTGCATTCGCGTTTGTTTTCGCATGCATGCGCCTTTTTTTTTTCTTTTTTTCTTTTTGGTCCTGAATGTATATTCAGTTCATGTCTTAATATACATTCAGTTCATGACAAATCAATTGAGTCGAGGCCGGGGACCTCTCAATTCAACCCGCAGTTATCCTGGCAGCTTTAGCCAGTTTCGCTTATGAATCACACAAATGGGTAAATGCCTACGCAAGTGGTCCGGAAAACCGGCTACATGCAGCCGGCTTTGACATGTCTGCGTGTCTTTCCATTTCTCTCTAAGCCCTACCCCTACCTGCTAAATAGACTTCCACATCCTACACCGCACTCCCCACTATCACTAATGTATGTTGTTTTTTTTTTTGCATGCACATTTGATTTTGCATGCACGTTTGGTTTTGCATGCACGTTTTGGTTGTGTGCGTTTGTCTTTGTATGCGCGCTGGGCAGTCACTGTGATCGGGTGGTCAAATGTATGTATAAATTATATGCCTATGTGAGCCAGAGGTGTGAATACCGCAATACCTTAAATTATATGCCTATGTGACCCAGAGGGTGGTGAATACCGCAATACCGTAAATTATATGCCTATGTGACCCAGAGGTGGTGAATACCGCAATACCGTAAATTTGCATGCACGCTCGGCAGTGATTCGGTGATAATCTATGACACATTGTACGTAATATGCCTAGTATGTGACAGAGAGGGTGCTGAATATCCGGATTACCGTCACTTCGATCCTCCGAGATTGGGGTGTGGCGTGCGCGTCCAGGTCGAGCGGGAAGCAGTGTTGCAGCGCCCCTTCCATTTATACAGCGGCGCTGACTGACGTCTTTCCCGGAAGGCTGGAACGCAACCGCACCATCGTTATGACTCATATGGGACGGGCCCGACGGGAAAGGTAGGTCTCCATTTGTCACACTGACGGGGAAGGTCGGTCTCCATATGTGTAAGTTGATATGCAGAGGCGTTGCGTTGCGTTGGGGGAAAAGCGGTAAGTCGGTTCGCTAACTTCGCTTGGACTGGGTCGTGGGGGGAAATCTCAGACCGTCTCGTGGGGACCTGCTCCAGAATACAACGTAAGGTCATATTAGAGGTGTAGTCGGGCTATCGTTCAGTCTGTCTAAAAACAGTGTCGCGGCTACGTTCTTCACGTGAATACAACGGAAAGTCATATTAAAGCTGTATACGGTGTATCTTTCTGTCTAAATACACCGTGCCGTGGCTGCGTTGTTCACGCGAATACAAGGTCATATTACAGCTCCATATTGGGGGTATCTTTCTGTCTAAATATAGCAATAAGGACTCGTATTTTTTACCATACGTTGTATTCGGGTGTTATAAGATAGGCCTTCAGGCCCTTCACGGTTAAACCTCTCGTGTAGTATCTGTTCTGATCGTCGTTCCCCTCTTGCTTGCGTTGGGCAGGCAGGTGGCCCGTGGCCGTGTCCCCAGATTTCACCTTTCACTTGGAAGTTGGTACTACTGTAGTGCAAATTGATTGATTGGTGTGCGCTTCAAGTTGATTGGTGCTGAAGGAGTCATGGAGTCGAGGTTTGGTAGCCACTGGCCAGTGCTACCTTTGACTTGCTAGTGCTATTTTGGAATTCAATTTGGTGGTGCAATTGGCAATTGGTGCCTTCTTCTGATCTCCGAAAGGGGAGTTACGGAATCGAGGTAGCTGGTCCATTACGTAATCAAGTTAAATCAACCACTCGCTACCCGAGTTCAAACCTCGATTCCGTAACTCCCCCGAACACAACCCACACTTATCACGACTGTAATGGACCGGAAAATCAGGCGTGCCCTTACCAACTTGAAAGAAGTCCAGCTACCGTCGAATGGTTTGGGTCTGAGGCCATCAATATCTGTCCAAGGAGTCGACTCAGTCAAGGACAGGTGAATTGAGCCATTATTGAGGTAATATGATGCAATTAATGGTTTTTTCTTTAGATATGCATGTGGGCACTGGGTACCAGTTCAGGGCCTTGGCAGGACACGTGCCGTGACGTGCGCCCTCTCTCTCTCTCTCTCTCTCTCTCTCTCTCTCTCTCTCTCTCTCTCTCTCTCTCTCTCTCTCTCTGTCTCTGTGGGTACAAGTTCAGGGCCTTGGCAGGACGTGCCCCTTCCGTCCGTCTCTCTCTCTCTCTCTCTCTCTCTCTCTCTCTCTCTCTCTCTCTCTCTCGCACACACACACACAAACCACAAACACACGCACATGCTTTCTTTTGCGGAGTTGTATATAGAGAGCATGACAATACACGCAGGCAATCACACACTCTTCTCATCCACTTTTACTGTCACTTTCTTTTTTCCTTTTCAAGGGGCGATGGCCTTGAGATACCATCAATGAGCTGACTGGCCCTACTAGGTGATTCAGAATTGTTGTAGTGTTTTACTCGTTTGCTTCTTGCGGAGTTTGAAATCAGGTCTGTAGGCCAGCTTCACGTTACTTGATATAGAACGGCCCTTCTGCGACTCATCCAGTGACCATTAAATAATGATGATTTGCACGGGAACATGGTGTTTTCCTCACTGAATCCTCGAGAGTCTGTTGCCCGTGTGTCACGGTGTAAAGCTTTTTTTCATATGCCACACGGAGAGATTGAAGAGGCCACCATAGGCGCTGCCAGGTGGCGGCCCTTCGGCCTTAGTCCCCTACTATCAAATATATACCTTAATGAACTCGACCACTTTATAGAAACAACAGCCAGGTTTGGCAGTGCCACATGACATTGTACCGAACCGGTCTCAGCACGTCACATACACCAGGTTTTGCGATTGCGCCGGAACCAGTCTCAGACTCTCAGTCGACATTTGGTGTGGACCAGTCTCAGTCAACAGT